GAGAGAGAGAGAGAGAGAGAGAGAGAGAGAGAGAGAGAGAGAGAGAGAGAGAGAGAGAGATGCACAATACCACACTCACGCTCCCAACACGATTTTTTATATCACGTCGAAAAGAGAAAGTATCCTAAACATCTTAGGTCGAACGTAATATTGAGGATATATATATATATATATATATATGTGTGTAAAAGAAAATCAGGTGGTCGTAGTGCCTACGAAGACTAATACTAGTTCTATTTTAAACAAAAAATAAGCGAGTTAATTGTGCGATTTCAATCAACGAAGCAAAGAACAACATTGTAATCATATCGTTGGTTTCTCCTTCTCCATTACCCCCCTCCCGCCTCACTGATCATTTCACACTCCCCTCGTATTGACCATGTCTTTTCCACCCTCACCCTCATCATCAAAATCATCGGTTAAGGTATCAAAATTGCGAGAACGGAGGATTCCCTCCACATTCCCTCCCTTCCCACCATCCGCAGCGGTCCCTCCCTGTGGTGTCAGCGGTGATTGTGCATCACCTTTGCCTGTGCATAACTCCGGTTGCAACCGATTGTCCGCCACGTTCAGGCCAATACCTGACTCTGCATCACCTTTGCTTGTGCACAACTCCGGTTGCAATTGACTGTCCGCCACGCTCAGGCCAACACCCGACTCTGACTGCATCTCAGATTTGCCTTCCAATGCGGCGCATGCCATCAATAAACTCTCGTACGTGGCACCTGCATCTGATGGCAATGCGTTTGACACATCCATGCGTTTGGAGGGTTCTATCGTGCCGACAAAGATTTGCGGCAAAGACGTCATATCAACCTCTTGAGCCTTCACCACAGTAGTCCCGTCATCCTCCCTCTGCCCTGCCTGCCTGGGTACGGGGGGCGATGCCGTCGAAGGCACGACATCCCGATAGCTGCTCTCCTCCATGGTTCCGACAGTTTGATTGACCTTCCAGTCGATCGACCCACATGACGGACTCGTTCGCATGGCGTAAAATTTCCAACTGTACTCCAACTGGTGATTGTCTCGCAAGACATCAAACAATTTTTTGGCCTTGGCTTTGACAGCGCCCTCGCTCTGCCCCAGATTCTCCTTTTGCACGCGGTACAAAATCGCGAGCTCCATTGTTTTCAACCAAGTGTCCTTTGACATTCGACGAAACGTCTGCCAACCACTTCTGTATTTCACCGCCATCTTCCACTCCTCATCTTGGATGCACGACTCTAAAATGCCCTCATGCCATATGATGTCATGGCCCCACTGGTCCTCACCAGTGCGGGTGTGTTTGCCCTCCAAAAATAAATAGTGGTCGGGTCGACACAGTAGTTGGGAGGAATTGGATCGCGTGGTGTGAGCTTTGATGCCTCGCCTGGTATATAGATGTCATCTTCTTAATTGCCATCGCATATTCCTGTGTCAGGCAAACCAGTAGCCTCCATGGGCGTCACCATCGAGGCACCATTGTGGACGGTCACCTGGACGGACCCTTCATGCGAACGAACTGTCCCTTCATCGTGAGACCGCAGCATGCCACCGCCTGGACCTTCAACACCCGTGTCATCGCCGAATTCGAGGTCGGACTCCGAAGAGTCTTCCTCACTGTCGACGGGGTTAAAGCCATCGCCCGATTTCGCGAGCTCTGCGTAGTCCTTCGACGTCAGTTGGTCTTTGTGAAGATCGAACTTCAGGATCTCGCATCGAGCAACAAAAGTCTCAAAGGCGCCAGTAAGAGCACCGTGATAATGTTTGAGGGTCTCTGTTGCCTTTGCTTTCCTGTATATATAATTACCATCAAGCCGTCCTTGCGGCGCATCACCGAACAGGTATTCCCACACCTTCAGTCTCTTTGGTCCCAACTTGTGGAACATGTCACTGTTGCTGAGATGTTTGTAACGCGGCTTCTCAACATGGCAGGCAAATCTGTCATCCTTGACAAGTATATCGATGAACTTTGTCAAGTATGCTATGTCCTTTGCCGACTCGTCGCAGACAATAACATTATTACCTGCCTGTAAGAACTCCCACACAAGACCCGCGTGCGCCTTACCCAACAAAAGCACACCTTCCGCCTCTCCGACGAACGACCCGCACAACGAACGCAACTTGCCAGACTCTCGCTCCCAGATGGAATACACCACACTCTCATCGCCCTCTATGCCACCATGTTTCCCTAGACACTTCCCGAACTGCTCCTCTACAACATGTACGTTGGTGAGGTCATTGAGAAACCGGGGTTTGACAGTGACTTTTTTGAGATCCCCTCCCTCGGCGTGCAGGACAATGACCATCATGTCTCCACTCGTCGTAGCGATATTGCCGTAACGTGTGATGTCATTCGATGGCCTGTCCACCCGTTGCCAGGTCTCAGGTATGAGCTCGACGTCATCCCAGCGAAACAAGTGACGCAGAACATCGCTTTGCACCTTCTGCGGTGCAAAGAAGAAAATAACCCAATTCTGGCCACAACATCTGGTCATCAATGTGTGTAGCACATCAAATTCCTGAGAGGTCCATGCCGTGTTGAAGTTCGAGGATGAGATGTCCACGATGGCGGCCCTGCATGTCATTTTTTGCGCTGATGCGACGATGTCGTCTAGCACCGCGAGCACTTCCTTCGATGACATGCACACAGGTAGCAATGTCGTTTGTCTGCCAATAACGTCCCACACAATATGGCGTGCACTGGAGGCGATCCGTTTCACCTCGGCCCGAAGCAAATCGAGCTTATCGATTGCGGTGTATATGAACACCTTAAAGTGAAACGGAGCCTCCTTATACATTGTCGCCGTAGGCCCCAAGCCCGCACCTTGTCTTGCCTCCTCCACTCCTCCAAGTCGTCGAGAGACCGTCTTCACATTGTTGACATGCAGCTTGTCCCTTTCCCTCTCCCATTCAGGTGCGCACAAACCGTTTGGTCCAAACCTATCTTCGAGGTCCTTGTACGACATGAAGAAGGCGTCGTTCCATTCATCATCCCCCCTTCCCTCGACGCGGAACACAACATAGGTGAACATACGAACCATGTAGCGCTCCTTGCGCATGATGTCGAGGAGACACTCAATGTTCACTCTCGGAGGTGTGACCTTGACGTTCGTTGCGACCACCTTGCCCTTCATTAGCAGGAGCAGCGCAACTTCCCTCTCCCGACATGTCAAATCCCCGAAATTTTTGAAGTAGGAAGGACAAAGATCCTTCCATGACACGGTAGAGCCTTTGGGACCATCTCTTGCATATATGCAATGGTACAATGTTCTTTGTCCCTTGGTCTCGTCGGTGTACGGGCCTGGCTGGCGCCCCTCCATCCTCCCTGGCATTTCAAGCGGGATTTTGCCATCCCCAACTGGCAGCTTGTCTTTGTTGAACATCCCGAAGAACCTCTCGACCAGTGGCCACACTGCGTCGGTGGATGTGGCGAGGTTCATGTAGCCCCGGAGTTTATTACTCCAATCCTTACTATACTCGTTCTCGAGGGCCTGCTTCACAAACGCCTTGTCGCATGCCTTCCCCATAGAGGCCCTTAAGAAGTTCTGCCATTTTTTCTGGTGGTCGTCACGACGACCTCATCCTTCTCGCTAACCTTGGCTTTGGGGGCTTCGATTCTGTTGTTATCGATCCACCATTGCCTCATGTCACGGACAGCGTCCTCGAATGACAACATCATTGCGCGATTTTCGCGTGTGTTGTCGAAGGCGGAGACATTGAAATACCCTCGTGTTGGGTCATCTCCGAAATAGACGACCCACCTTCGAGTACGCGCGGAGGCCATAGACTTTGACTATCGGGGAATCCTTTCTGACCAATCTCTTCATGGCCTCAGCGGTATGCTGACCAGTGATAGCGTACCTGTCGAACTCTGTGCAGTTCCTTTGAAAGAATTCGGCCGGCGTGATCCGCCTCCCCTGACCGCCGACGATGTCGTTGGGGTCAACCGGTGCAAGCACGAGTTCGGGCCTGTCCCACGCCCCCGGGTCCGTGGTGATGGAACTTTCGATGACTGTCTCGATGCCTCACACAACGTTTTCAGATAACGAGCGGTGGTTAAAAAGAATCTCGCCGCGGGGAATGCGTTTGATTCTCAGGACGTCCACGTGAACAGCATGGACGTCTTGCTTAGCGAAGCCTTGCTCGTTATACTACAGGAAGAAACAACGCGTTGTGTCGATGATCGCGGTGTGCTGAGCCGGCTTATCAACATCTTCGGGCATGCGAGGATCCACTCCCTCGCCGTCATCCCCCGAGTCCCGCATTTCTTGTGGCCTCACCCTCTGCGAGCCTTTCCTCGCGCCGCCATGGGCGCCGCCACCACAACCACCGCCATGACCGCCTGATCGCCCCCCGTGGCTGTTTTTACGAGAAGGCCGCGCCTCCTGGGATGCTGTCAAAGCTCCACGAGCCTCATCAACAACATCAGTCCTAGCTTGTCTCTTGTGAGTAGAAGCAGATGGAGAAGTTTCTCTTGTCCTTTTCTTCGCCTTCGGTCCTTGCATTGCTTGTGAGTTATGTCCACCCTTACTCGTGCTTGGCGACCGCGAAATCCCACGGGACGTCGAGGGCTGACCAGCAGCGACTTCCACATCAACAAGTGTGTCGCGGTCCTGCATGTTGTCATCCCCAACTTCCATATCCGTTTGATTACCGCCGTCGTCATGCGGACCGCCACTTCCTCCCTCTTCGTCCTCGTCGTTGTTGTCATCCAGGGCAATTGCACAGTCCTGGGAATTCTCACGCCCAGCATTGCGTTGGCGAAGTCCATCATCGTACTCCGTAGCCTTGCTAGAAGCTTGAGCCAAATCACGACCTCCCCTCACCGAGGGTGAGGCCACCGAGGGTGAGGGCGAGGGCGAGGGCAGAAGCGGAAGATTCGCGCCCGATGCGCCCGGCGCAGGTGGAGTTGGCCCACTCGGCAACTGCTTTTTCCTCCCACCCGCAGCGGCCGGTGTCTGCCGGGTTTTCTTGGAACCCTCGACAAAGGGCATAAAAGCACAGTCCGCTTGTTGGGATGGAGGCAACTTCGAGAAGTCTTCCCTGTATCGCTTAACCACACCCGACAATTGGTCCACCGGGCTGTTGAATTGGATCAATGGTTTGGTGAGCTTGAAAGAACTGGCAACGATAGGAAAGCAGCCAGTGATGTGGTTGGAGTTGGTTTTATTGAGGAATTGTTCGGGAGAGAGCATGCGAAATTCGCTTTCATCCCCACGCACGTCAAATGCTTTCATGGAGAAAGCCTTGACGCCGTATCCTTGGAAGAGCCGTAGGTCAAGAGAGACCTTTCTGTCCTCCTTAAACCAGTCTGTCCTAGCGCTGTCAAAGACAGACGTAAGGAAGAAGGTCCTGAATGCCTCCTGTCGTAGTTCTTCCTACCAGCCTCGGATTTCTCAACACCGCCACAACAGTACCAAGTTGTGCCATTGTCATCGCTCAAGAAGACAACGGCCCCACACCCCGGTTTATGTAGACCGCCCACCCAGTCAAGAGCCCATGGTGCATCGTTGTAGATCCTCGACCTGCCGTACCCCCGTCTGCCTCCAACGGGGGTCGAAGCAGCAGATTTTCCTGCACGGCGGAGAGACAAAGAAAAAGAAAAACGGGCAGACGAACACGAATGAGCAACACACAGGAGCACTTGCCCATGCGCGAGCACGGGGATCGGGGGTCCGACGGATCGGGAACGCCGGACCCTGTCCGACCACAGGGGTCGGGGGTCCGGCGTTCCCAATCCGCCGGACCCCCGACCCGGGAAGGATGGTGGGGGTCGGGCGTATCAGAAACTCTGGACCCCTCGAATCGAACACGGGGGTCGGAGTCCGGCGTTCCCAATCTGCCCGACCCCCGACCCGGGAAGGATGGCGGGGGTAGGGCGTATCGGAAACGCCGGACCTCCCGACTCGAAGACGGGGGTCGGGGTCCGACATTCCCAATCCGCCGGAGCCCCTACCTGGGAGGGATGGCGGGGGTCGGGCGTTTCGAGAACGCCGGACCCCCCGACCCGAGCAAGGGGGTCGGGGGTCCGGCGGATTGGGAACGCCAGACCCCCTGCCCGACCACAGGGGTCGAGGGTCCGGCTGATTGGGAACGCCGGACCCCCTGCCTGACCACAGGGGTCGGGGGGTCCGGCATTCCCAATCCGCCGGACCCGCACCTCGAGCACGGGGGTCGGGGGTCCGGCGGATTGGGAACGCCGGACCCCCTGCCCAGC